AGCAGTTGTTTTTGTTTTAGAAAAAGTCCACCGCCTCTGTTCTGTCACAAGCCCTACTTCTAGAAGGGATCTGCAAGCTTACTAGTCAGTACCATTGCTTACAGTCATGTAAACCTACCAGGGGTGTGTGCCTCAGTGAGGTGGCTGCTGGCCTGGAAAGAAGTGGGGCCTGGGTTTTGTCTCAGAGAGAGAGAAACTTGACCCTGAATTGTCCTCTATTAATTTCTTCCAGTGGCGATGTTAGTATCAACTTAAACAAGAACACTGGAGAAAGGGTTGCTTAGTCTATGGATTTTAGTATACTAGGCTAGAATGTCAGAAAGACACAGGATCAAATATACTTTGCATGAACGGTACCTAGAATCTCTGGTCTCCTAGTTGAGAGCTACAGCAACTGCACTATTGAAGGGGGAAAAATGGGATTTCTGTTTTTTATTTTATTACCATCCATATCCCTGCTTACAAAGTCATTCATGAGCACAAGTGAATGCGGCCAGAAACAGAATTCCAACCAGTAAGTATGTGGCATTTTTGCATTTAGATGACCAAAATGGCATGCAGACACACCAAAACATGACCACTTAGAGAACCAGGAAGAACAGAATGTCACCCTTACTGCCCTTTCACTGAAAATACTAGACAGAACTGGCAACTGACACACTAAACAAATAATTTCTGTATGTCTCCATAAATATTTCATTTTTCACTTATTTTTTAATTAAACTTTTAATTGCATATATCAGTATCTTTTAAAACCTAAAAATTAGAATGAATAAATAACATGGAAGAAAACAACATTAGGGAGCAATAACAATGTACAATGACAATTCATCAGTTTTAGAATAATATCTGTGTACGTGTAAGGACAAATGTCATTTTTTTGCTTGTTTCAAAAAGCAAACCCCCACACATGCTTTGTGAAGAAGGAACAAATGAAGGAAACAAAGAATAAGTGATCAATGAGAGTGATCCCAATCCACTGAAGATGGTCAAACTTTCATTTGCACTAGGAGTGCTTGTTTGACCCTACTTAATTATTGATAAAAGACTATGATTCACCTATAATTTAGTTTTTCTGAGTCACATTTCATTTTCTGACATTTTCCTGTATTTTTGAAGGCAAGAGAAGTAGAGATGCTGCAGTCATGGTCCCCAAAAGCCACAACCTGCTAATATTGACAAACCTGACGAAAATGTACTATTTTTTTCCAGTCACTAGAGGGAGAACAACCCTCTATTAAGGCCTGTAAACTATTAGTCTGCAAACTAATTCCTGTTTCTGTTTGTTGAGCTATGGCATGAACTTGGGGCAGAGACCAAAAAGATCAAAGGCACAAATACCTGCTGAAATATCAGTTATCATACTTGCTTCATAATAAAGTGCATATCTATATTATACAAACATTTGTTACACCCAGAACTGAATGGACTAAGTCTCCATAGTTATATCAGCACTCAGGCTTCTTGGGCTAAATGACGACTTAATTGTGTCTACCTTTAAATAGACTAAATAGAGCTAATTTAATAATTCTGATTCTAATTTCCGAGGGAAAATTTCCTATTATTCTGTGAAGGGAACAGACCAGTAAAACACTTCAGAGAATGTGTTAATCTTATTTTGACCACTGTGACATTTTCATTCAGTCATAGTAATTTCCCAGACTGCTGAAACCCAAGATCCACGTCAAGAAAAGTTAACCAGTCATACCTTATTCTCGCCCTCATGGGGGTTTCTAAAGAAACAGGTATATATTTGAAATTCAATTATATTTTTAAACTGTTCCCTCAAATTTGTATTTTATGGACATGCATATTCCATGTTGACTCTTAAGAACTTTTCAAATAAAAATTACTTTATTATTTAAAACTGAAATAGACACCAATTTTCCAGTTTAAAATATTACTTCACAGTTATTTTTGCCAAGTGGCAACCTTGTTATTTTTTTCTTTAGTGAAACATCTTACACCAGTGGACACTCCTGGGTTCTTCAGTCTTGGGTTCTTAAGGAGCAAAAATAAAGGCTATTATCTCTCAAGTCCACCCATGAGTGGTACCAAATCAGGATAATTGTAGCCATTCATCACATTATACTTCCTTGTTTTTATATGCTTTGATGAGCAACAGAATAGTTAGTGATGCTGACATTTAAACTATCATTGGTCAGCTCTTACATTAATGAATGAGGTGGTTGACACTTAGCTATTGTTTCAGACTTCCCGCAGATTCAAGGAGATGTTTCTGCATAAAATAAATTTAGTCACATTCAGTCAGGTCTAGTCAAGGTTTTCTTCACTACCAAAAGACTTGCAGACTAAGCCCCCTGGCATATGTTATACTTAAGATGTGATTAACCAGTTAATTGTGTCTTAATTTGTTACCTGGCCACATGTTAATGCAATTAATGGCATGATAAAACAAGAAGTATACCACAAGCTTACTACACAAAAATGTGTACTAACTTTGTGGCTGGTTCCTACTTCTTTCCATGACATTAACTGAATTTATGGCCAGGCTGGGGCTCCTACCTGCAAGGGCACAGCTGGGAGCTCCATCAGCAGATGCAGGCTCCCAGCCCTGGGAGCTCATGCTAGCTGATGGGGGGGCTCCCAACCAGAGAAGTTTGCTACTTGTTGGGAGTAGCAAAGTGATCCTGGGCTCCTTCTGCACTGGCAATAAGGTGTAGTGGGATCTGATGCTCCATTCCATAATCATGCCTCCTGCCATGCACATGTGGCATGGTAGAAAGCATGAATGTGGGGATCATACAGCAGATCCTATTGCACCTTTACTGATACACCTGCCGAAGGCTTAAGTCTTAGATGCTATTCTACCTCTAAGACAACTAAGATGCACTTATGTGGCCTTTAACCATTCAAGTCACTAAATTCACCCAGGCACATCAGACCAAAAAAAAACTGCGAAGAAGCCTAGGTTCTCACAGGCCTCCATTTTAGACCAGACTAGTCCTGGACTACTTTTCCATGCTCAGAAGCAATACAGAAAAGCCACCCAAGCATCTATTACCACCTAGATCCAACCCATCGAGGAAGCTCATAACTCCAAGTAAGCTCATGATTCTTTAGACTGAGAAAAATCATGCCAATTGGGAATGGAAAAGAGGAGAGCTAGGTTATCTTTTGGTCAATGGCCTAGTCAGTGGGCACTTGACCTGAGGGGCTGGAATCTACATCTCCCACTTGCAAAGAAAGGGCCTTACAAGGCAGTGTTTAACTAAGTAGCCCACTAAGGACAACCTTTTTCCTGGATGAGAGAGAGCCCTGGATTCTAGTCCCTACTCTCAGTGATGATTATGCTTTTTGCACTGAACAGTCACTGGGGAAAATGCACAGAATGCATTGGGAACTGGAAGAGGGACCACAATCCAGGGCTCCCTGCCTTCCAAGAAAAGGTCTTTACCACTGAGCTGCTGAATTAGGCTCCACCTTGCATGTTCTTCTTTTGGTCCCAGTGACTCTTGTCTTCCTTTTGATCCAATGGTCAATAGGAAGGAGGGGTAGGTACCTCATCCTTACTTAGCTCACAGTCTGCACATAAGGACACTCTTCTAAGATATGAGAAATGTGGATTCAAACTACCTCAGATGAGAGGGGGCTAAATCCAGATCTTTCATCTCCTGGGCAGGTGCCCAAATTACTAGGTTATTAGGTAAAAGATGGGTGGGTCTTTGTAGAGAATAGTATCTTCTCTCTGAGAGAGCTGGTTCCCAAAAGGACGTCTCCTTTCTGAGCAAACTGGATTAGGTTGGATGCTGAAATTAAGCTGCCTGTTGAGAGAATGGGAGGATGATGTCTCTCCAGTTTGAATAGGAGCTCTTTCATGAGGTAAGATGTGTTATTTGAGCTAAGATGTGTCAGTTGTGCTAAGGGCAAAAACAACTTGGACGTCTTAGGGGGAGGAATAGAATCTGGACTCAACCTTTTAAAAAGGAAAATGTAACCTCTTGTGAACAGTTGAGAGAACTGCTGGCAGCTCCAAAATACTCCAATAGGAAGAGCACATCTAACTTTTTAGGAGACACTTCTCTAAAATGTTTTTAAAAATATCTACCTAAAAGAGAAACAAATCATGCTTCCTTCCCAAAAAACCCCCTACAACCCGTTCACAAAAAAATGATGCAATATAGAAATAATGGAATAAGCTCTCAGACTTAGTCTTACAGGTACTACTGGCACTGATGGTAATATAATTTTCTTTCTTCCAGAAAAGTAAATATTGACCAACATAAAATCACTTCTGGATAAGTTATTACATCTCTATTTCCTAGTGATGTGCTAGGTGTAAATTCAGGCACTTCCAAACATGCTGACTTTCATACAGAAAGTATATGTGCAATTTTTTTCTCTTCGTCACAGTGAGGACCCTATATTTCTTGAGACCATTCTCCTACTTCCAGAATCTATCGTCAAGGAAAATACAATAGTTCTGGAAACTAGGCACAGGTGCTGTTATGTAATTAGTCTCCTGACAATTGATAACTCCAGTGTGACCTCTCTGGGAATGACAGTAAAATGGAAGCAATAAGGGTACATGTTAATGAGTGTGCATGTGGGCGTGTGTTATTATTGAGAGTAAATATAGATAAAGGTAATACAATTCCTGAACATCTGCAATAAGAATGCAGTCTAAGCAGTGACCTCTCTTGCACTTATCTTGCATGAGTTCTTACTGAAATCTGCTAATGGGTTCTGATAATCTATTATTTATTGCAACAGCATCTCTTAAAGACTCTTAGCAGAGAAACCTCCTGTGTTTACAGCATTATTTCATTCAAAACCTCTTAAAGTGACAGATGCAGCACCTTATTTAGAATATAGATAGGATGTCTTTCTATCATTGGTAATTTCATTTTTGCTTTATTTTCCAAAAACTCTGTGATGTTTTTAATATATTCTCATGCATCCTGAACTAGGTCAACCTGAAAGCTGCAGAAGCAGATATTAATACACTGGTAAGCATTACTTGGGAGTGCATGACATACCTCCATGTTGTACTTTTCCACTGTCCTTCTTAAGGGATCCACTACCTGCCAGCAAATCAAGATGCAAAGATCAATCAGCAGCATCCCTCCAACTATCACCAGCAACTTCTGGTCCTTAATGATCTGGAGTGACAAAAATAAAGCAAAAAAGGGCATTCCCATGACTGAGATTCCTGCAGAGCCTCTCTCAAATGTAGCAAAATAAATGTACTGTTGATAAATAGGCTTGTTAATAATGTATAGAGAAAGGTTTACCAGAAATATCAGAAGATGAAATCAGGAGGTAATTTTACATGATACAGTAGTTTCATCTCCTGTTTATGTGCAGTGTCTAAAGATCACAGAAACACTTTAGAAGGAGGTTGTGAGGACTCGATACTTACTAATGCTCAGTTTCAGAATCCCAGAAACTGAAGAAGTTTCTACAGTAAATATCAACTGCTATATGTTTGGGTGCACCTATAGAAGGATATTCATTGCAGTTCTCCCTATAGCAAAGCTATAGTTAAAGTAGTAATTCTTCTTCCATTAAGAGATCCCATTTTCACTTGCTCATAACTTTCACAGTTGCAGATGAAACATTTGCTTGGCCTCAAGTGAAAGAGGATTTGGTTTTGGAAAGTTTTAAATGCTGAGCACTTTTTCAAGGAGGCTAAGGAGACAAATATACCTTTTGCACATGGAATACAAAACATTCAACTTCAATTGTTGTGTGTCTTGACTTCATTAGAAAAGAGTTCCGTTGCAAAATAAAAAACTAAAACTTGCAGATAGCTTTACTGAACTCTAATATAGTTTATACATATTTTCTGGTATTACACACACAAAACCATGCTAAAAGAACACCGTTAAAGTTGCGAAGTCAAGCACTCAGAAATAAGAAAGCATCAAACCAATACTCTTGGCAACCATAGTTCTATGTGTATGAATTATGACTTTGATTTACAAATCATGATCATAGCACCTTTTTTTTTTCTAGAGGACCTTGTCTTATTCAGTGCTTAAAGCAAACATTGCTACAATATTTTAATACATGGAAAAGAGTATGTACTTTCTGTGGCCTTTTCCTTAGAAACAGCTGATTTGTTTTGGCTGAAATTGTACCAATAAAAAAGTACTCAAACAGACACCTGGTCTGGAAAATTTCAATCCATATGGTTAAAGTTTGGCATGTTAAAATAAAGTCATATATTAGGAACTGTGAATAACAGGCTGATCTCCTAAACCAGCCTATAATAAAATCTATTTTACAGTGAGTTTCTATCAAGCTGCAAGAAGAGGTGTATATACAATTTCATTTTTTGTCATTTGGAAATAAAAACCTTTCATAAACTTATCCTTAAAGTTTACAGTTTGTTTTGTTACTTTTAATTCACACTGTAAACTTTTCTATTATTATACATGTAATCCATTTCCATTGAAATATCAGGGATAAAACTGTTTCCAAAACAGTCATTTCACAACTTACATATATTTGCAACATTATTTTAAAAGACTAGTAACTAGAAATATACAGATGAGCAAAACTTCTTAAAGTCCCTATTTTTAATATTATTCAGAGAAACAAATTATCCACTGTAGAGAAGCCTACCATACCACATTCCGTTCCACATTAAGCTCCTGGATTCAGTATGGAAACCATTTGGAGACTTACCATCATTACCTGATGCTAAGTCCTTCACGTAATGAAAATGAAGTTACCTGATGTGCTATTGCCATTTTTTTCTTATTAAAATCTACATTTCTAATGTTTGTATAATAAATGGGCCACAACATGATTTTTGCTTTTTACTCACTTGGAGAATATGGAGGAGTAAAAGAATATACACTTTTCATAGATGGAAACACAGAGCAAAACAGGTGGCAACTGGATGATACTCTGTTTTATTCCACTTTTGCACAACTGGTCAAAAAATAGATTTAAATGAAGAGAAACTACACCAATAAAACAGCTAATGAAGTTCATTTCCCCCCTCTGAACTAAAGGGGGAAGCAGAGACTGAAATGTGGCTCTCAGGCACATTTAGTTTCTTCTCCAATCTTTGGGTAGCATGACTATACCCTGCCCTTTAGGTAGGACCCATTGTAAGATAATTGTCGTACCCTAAGTGATGTTAATGGAAAGATTAGGTAGAAGAGCATTCCAAATCTGAGTTCTACTTAAGGCCCACCTAAGTCCTCAAAATAGGGCTAAGTGGAACATTGGTAACACATTGACAATGGACTACCCCTCACTACAGATGTGCATCTCCAGTGGGATTTGTGACAATAGGCACAGAAGGCCATATCTAAAAAGTATTAAGTGGGCATGTCTACATGAGACATTAAAAGTGCAGTAGACTAATTATATTGCGCATTAGCATGTCACAGAGAAAGCTGTGACAATGCACAGTAGAATTAATCTACTACGCATTAGCATCACATAATATATGACATGTACTGGCATTATTGCACAGTAGCACTGATTATGGTGCATTAAGTTAGTACCTGATATTATAGGTACTATACTTAATGTGCTGTAATTACAGCACTTTAATGCACATGTGCACATGCCGAGTGGGACTTAAATGGAATATAGATGCCATAGTCCAAAACTGTAATCCTGACAACCCACACCCAGATGATGCCAAATCCTGGAGATGTGAATTCTCCACATTTGAATTTAAGGCTAAGCACAGACAGTCAAAAAGCCAGAGGCTGCGTCGATTCAGTCTTCATAGGTTGTCTAAGCTGCGTAGATTGAATCAATATGCAAGTGAACAGACATTCACTTTTGATTCTAGAAATGCAGCCACATGCCTGCAGTGGTCCAGTCCAGAAGTTGGGGGGTGCTAAAGCATACCTCCCTGCTTGGTTGGACCAGACAGCTTGGGTCAAGGCTAGCCTGCCCACCATGTGAAGGGGGGCTTGTGGGGGAGGTGCAAAGCATCCTTAGATGCTGGGGGTCTGTGAGTTAACTTGAATCTGGAGGGGCTCTGGGACAGAAGTTCAATAAGCCAATTTAATCTAAATCAGTTAAGTCTGATAATACATCCATATAGGTTTATCTTAAACTGGTTTTGGCCATTTTGAAAGCGGTTTATGTGCATTGCATTTCTGTTGTGTTACAGATTTGAACCAGTTTCCGATCACTTATACCAATTTATGTTTAATTTCTAGCCCTGGTCTAAAAGTCCCCAGGCATCTGCAGCTGCAACTCTGTGGGTACATCTACAGAAGATGCTTTACTGTGCAGTAGTGGAGTTTACTAAGTAGTAAGCACACGCGTCTACACGTGTGCACACTTACTGCACAGTAAATGATACTACTCATTAGTAAATTTTCTACCTGCAAATACAAGTAGCAACTTTACTTGTGATTAGTTACTGTGCAGTAATGCATGTGTAGATGCCAACCAGGAGTAGATTTGTTCCTAGGCAGCCCTGCCACTGTAGCAAAACCCCCAGTTTTTCTTTTTTTTATTTTTAAAATGCATTCCCTCTACTTCCCTAACCATTTCTGACTTTTTCTATCCCTCTCTACTTGGACTCTGTTTCTCTTCCTTACCTGGACTCCAACTCTTCCACTGCTGCCATTGTGTGAGAGTGTGTGTGTGTGAACCAATAACTTCATGGGGCTGTGTAGTCTGTTTAATAAACCTGTTATTTTGAAACCCTGAGTTGGGTTTTTGTCTGTTTCCTGACTCTTTCCTCCTTGCCGCCACTTATCTGCCCCCCAAGCTCCCAGCTCTCTGCCTCTGTTCTCAGCCCCAAGCTCCCAGGTTTCAGCCTGTCTCTCTTTCCTGGCTGTCTCCTCCTTGCCACTGGGCTTTTCCCCTTGTACCAGTGACCTCGAGTAACCCTGGGGCCACTTGACTTTAAGTAACCCCAAGCCTCAGTTCTTCAGCCCAGCTTCTCTCTAGTCCACCAGTTCTAATCCTGGTTCCAGCAATTTTCACTCCTTACCCTTTCTCTCTCACCTTAACCTTCCCCTAGGTATCCCAAGTACCCCAAACACACACATATATACTGTACCATCCAAGTTAGGAACTCACCTGTATGTGTAGGTGGGTGGTATGGGTGTGAACTGGTGAATACACATATATATCTTATTGTGTGCATGATATACGAATTAGTGATCCATGTGCGGAGTGTGTGGGTATTGACAACTGACTGTTGTCTAATTTTTGGTGTGTGTAGTGTGTATGGGCTTGAATTAGTGATAGGTATGCATGTGCCTAGGCTGGTTTGGATTTGTATGTGTCTGAGTTGGTAGTGTGTGTGTATGTGCCTAATTGATGTGTGTGTTTGTATATGTGCAATTGTGTCACACCCTCCTGTCTAACAGCGCAATATTGAGATCCTGAGAGTTGGCCTGCCAGCCAGTGCCACGCAGCTGCCAGGCCCAAGTCATCCAGGGCTTCAGGGTGCTCCAGGCTCTTGGCAGGCCTGCTACCACCAAGGCCCAGCTGCAGGAAGCTCCTGGCCACTGGTGCCAGCTCCAGCTGCCTGCAGCCCACCCCCAGGAACCTGCCCAGAGCCTGCTGTTGCTATGGGGCATTGCCTCACTATGCAGCTCCCAATCCCATACCATGCCCCTGTGCTAAGCACTGCAGGCAACTGCCCAGGGACAGCTGCACAGAGGCCTGGATAGCTTGTGCTGGAGCCCTGATGGCCTCGACATCACCCACAGTAGTGCCCGCCAACCAGGGCCCCAACTGGTCACAGGAGGAGAGTGGTGACCTTGTGGAGCTGTGGGGTGAATGCAGAGGTGCACTGGGATTTCATGAGGGGTGTGTGCTCCAATGTCCATGTGTATGAGGGGCTGTTAGGCCAGATGTGAGAGGTTGGGCAGCGCAGCAGTGCCACATAAAGGTTAAGGACTTCTGGGTACCGTGGATCACCATCATCAACCACAATCATCCCCAGCATGAAGTAGCCACTCTCCACCAGGGCTAGCAGGGCAGAGTTGCAGAACACATAGGTGTTGTGGGCCATGGTCACCCAGCTGGCACTCACATTCATGAAGGTGCCACGGTTGTCCACAACAGCCTGGAGCACAACCAAGTGGAAGACCCTCTGGCTGTAGCAGAGGCGGTCACCATGGAGTCTGCCCAGAAGTGTTTACTTGCAAGTGGCTTACTT